GGGATGATGCTTTAAGCCGCACATGAGTTTTTGAGAGGCACCAAATGTTTTAGGATGGCCAGGAACTCGTCAAAGATGAGTACCGCCTTGGACGCCCGACGACCGCTCGAACCGAGGCTCTCGCATGATCAAAGTGAAAGAAGTTTTGGATTCTGACAGGTGTATAACCATCGTCCACACCAGTGAGAAGACCGGCCTTTCAGTGGGAACCGTCCACACTATCGTAATGGAGAATTTGGTGATGAGAAGAGTCCTCGCGAAGCTGGTACCGAAAGTCCTGAGCGAGGAACAAAAACCATCAAGGGTAGAGATTTTGCAAGAGATTTTGGACTGCATCCAGCAAGATCCAAATTTTCTGGACGACGCTATTACCTGGGTGTTCCAGTATTGTGAACAAAATGTTCGAGTTGAGGGAAAGTGTCTACGACGCTGATTTTAAAGCAAAAGTTCACAGCGTTCCTCGACAGTACGTTCCATGATGGCATGACGACACAATGAAAAAACACTTGGTGTAAATATCAACCTATTGTCTCAACAAATGGCCATTGCCCATAGGCGACTACACCTAAGCGCTCCTGAATGGTGAAGGACCCCTCTATCGAACCCAACCGGTCGGACCCCCCTCCACTGCTCTTTTGAGGCTATAGTGAACCAGTCCTCATACTTATTGAATGAACCCTGTAGTTTGACACTGTAGTAAAATACTGTCTTCTAACCTACACAATATTTTAAGCAAGACAAACTGAAATGGTAGTCTATTGTAAACTATGCCATCTTTAACATCCCTATGGACTACCATAGTAGGTACAAGAAACTAGAAAATCGGTTTGGACTTGGAACCATGAGCGGCGCTGAAGCTCAGGCATACCTTGGCCACCTTTAAGAAACTTTAACTTTAACAAACACGCAACTAAATGAGACCCAATGTCAGAGCGGCACCGCTCATGCCGCTTGTCGCTTGTATTGTACCCGAGGCCTAAAGTTAACCAATTTTGACAGTTTTCCAATTTTGAAAGTTTTCCAGTAAGACCTATATTTTTCATTATTTTAAAATCAAAGTTCTATGGTGGTGCTTTTATAAACAAGATTTAGCCTATGTATTTATTTTAACGATTGGACATATTTATAGTTTTTTATAGGATTTTGTAGTTAACAAAGTCAAATGCTTTGAACAAGTAATATAATATGTTGGGAGATAATACTTTGTATCCAAAGTCAAAAGCTGACATTTTCCAAACAGTTCCGAATTCAAAACAAAGAGCGAGGGTAAAGCTGCAAGATTGTACCGACAATAAACCTCCGAGAGTTACCAAGTGATGAAATATTCATTCGATTAATCCATAAACCCCCAATCTTACACAGTGTAGCTAGAGTTCTCGGTCTGTTTCATCTGGTTTTGGCTTGTCCATTTCATTTTGCAAACAATAGTGACAAAATTGTAATTGTGAAAATTATATATAAATAACTTTAAGATAACTCTAAGATCTAATCAAATTACAAAAATATATGTTTACTGATTATGCAACCATCCAACATTAAATGTCAATTGATGTAGCCGATGAAATGTATTTATTTTAGCAATTGGAAATATCTACCTTTTTACCGAACTTCCAACATAGGGAATAAAGCTATAGGTCGAAATGTTTTTGAAACTTATCATCCTAAGGCTTGGTCAGAGAATGAGAAAAAATGCATTTTGGCTAATTTCACGAGTAGAATAGTTTGTGATTATTTGAAACTGGTATAAACATTATTAAATTAAATAAATTATGAACAATTTTTCATTGAATACATTTTTATCTACAAGCTATTGTTGTAATGGTGAAATTAATATTTCTTGACCAGATATTAATATTTTGGTACAGAAAGGCAATTTCAACAGTGGATAGGATTAAACAATATAGCATGTTACAAAATCTCAACTTGATGTCAAACAGTAAATATTTGAAACGAGCTAAAAACTTTACTCTTTGTATGAACTACAGAAGATAATCTTTATTAACCTTTAAATGTCAGCAGCTTTATTGAAAACTAAAACACATTTCCTTTGTGCTGAACTTTATTTACAGAGTTTTATTATTATTGGCTTTCTGTTCTACTTGTTTCGATTGCTCATTTTTTTAGGTAAAAAAAAAAACAACAAACATATATTTTAAAATAGTAGGCTATAGTTTCATAAACGACTCTGAATTTTAAGTTCACTTGAAAAAATATAAAGAAAGGGGTTGTTAAAGTGAAACATCGTATGAAAGTGGGAAACCAATAATATGAAACACCAATACAAGATACATATTTCACATTATGACAGCCAGTTTTGTTTGTTCGGTTTTATTTAAGCTTTCGGGCAAAGCTCAGCATATTAATTATGGATCTTATCCATATTTCATTAGTTTTCAAATGTAAAAAATGGAATTAGAGTTTGTTCTGAAGTGACAAACTTTATATAAATAAATTCATAGAGTTTATAGCTCAGTCAGTAATTACTATAAATTCTAATTATTGTAGGCCTAGTTAACAGACTTAAATTACTTTATAGTTCAAAAAAGGTGTACAAACATTTTTTTGTAGAGCAGTAAACTCAGTTTATTAGCCACATCTTAAACAGGGCAATATGATATTTACTTTAAGGTAATATATCTTGGTAAAAATCATACGATTTTTATGAAATTTAGTACATGTTTAACCCCACAATAATTCAAATTAGTGAACCAGCATTATCAAAGTATGGGCAGGGGTTTTTGAAGGGTTTTAAAGAGTAAAAGTTAGTTTTCCAATTTTTGGACTCTCAAAATATTAAGTTTTGCAATGTCTTAATAAACAATATTCTGGAGCTCAAAAAACAGCTCATTTAGTATATTAAAGCGTCATTTAGGTCTAATAGTTACAAAGAAAATTTAAAATATACATATATAATTTTTATTTTAATCTTATAGAGATACATTAAACTTTTGTAGTTTACTTGTTTATGGATATATTAAGATCAAATTACATTAGGTAAATTTCTTTATTTCATTCTGTTCTATTAACGTTCAAATAAAAAACACACTTTGTGACATTCTTTGGGAGCAGCAAACCTAATTACTCACTCAACTTAACGTTATCTTAACAGAGAGTAAATCTAACATCTTAAAGGAAATATATCAGAGACAATCCAATCAGGCAAATAGAAATTCCCTTAATCTAAAGGTTTGCTGCAGCGCGTGTATTTATGTACTCGAAATGCTAAAAGCAATATGGATGCTTTAAACAAACACAAGTGCTAGTTTTAGTCACGACATTTTCATGGCAAGGTCAAAAATTAATTAAATGGGTTCTCATTGGAGAAATAGTGCATGTTATGTCACCAGCCCTTATACCAGACAAGGGGTGGACTGGGTGGAGGGGTGTAGTCCAATAACTATTGTCCACAAACAATTGGCATTGTGTACGCTTCAACAATAAAATTGGCCTGCAATTCCACAAACACAACCTTTTAAGTTTCAGACTTTGAAGGATCATTTGTTTTATTTTGCTTCAATAAAAAAATTCAAATTATAACAAATAATCTGGGTCATAACGCATCTCTTAAAACGAATAGGAAAACAGTAGGAACAGAAATACAGTAGAACCTTGATAACAGGACTCTTGTGGGGATTATAAAAACGGACTAATTTGTTATCAAGGCTACCATACTTTTTATCAAGGTTTGGAATAACATGTGATTAGGGGTAAAACAAATTGTAGGGAATGTGAAATTACATTTCTAATATGTTGTAATATGTTGTCTATCAGATGCAACATAAACATAACCAAAAATATTAGTAAGGGAACTTACTCTCAACCGTCTAAATTTAGTGGACCATCATCGCTTTATGCCATATTTTACAGAATGTGAAAGAGTTGTTAGAAGACACCATACCAGACAATACATACCAGATAATTCATCCAATCAACATGCATAGCTCTCTACGTTTTACCAAGTCTTGGTCGCTGTACAAACGGAGGAATGTGGATGAATGGATAAGTATTGCTTTAAAAGAATCGTGTGGCTGTGCTAAAGTGATTCAAGTTCACGTTGTTGGCTATAGAATGGTATTTCAAAAAGAGAAAGATTAGCCTTTAGAAAACAATTTTTGATTTAAGATTGCCCGTGAGGAAAAGTTGTAATCAGTCTCTAATAAAATCTGTCTTTTAAAAAATAACCAAAGACTAAAAAGTGTGGAGACCCCCTGTTAATTTTTTAACGGCCCTTTCTAGAAAAACTAAACTTGGCACACCTTTATTGAATGTTATGAAGTACTTTTTGGGCATAACCGCCACTTGGTGTACATCCCCAAAATGGGGGATTTTGGGGGAAACTCTAAATTTTCAAATGGTAAGATACATCGAGTGATACCCCTCATTTTGAAGGTCTTGGTAAAAGAAAACCAACACTGCAAACTAGAGGTCTCTATCTTAATCCAGTAAAAAATGGCAGCCCATTGAAATTCTCAGAAGTTAAATTCAACTTACAGCTTTCCAAGTGTGGAGAACCCCTGTAAATTTTGTAATGGCTCGCACTAGGAAAACTAAACTCTACACACCTTTATGGCATGTTATGAAGTACTTTTTGAGCCTAATTGCTACTTGGTTCCAAAACCCAAAATGGGGGATTTTGGTGGAAACTCAAATATTTTAAACATCAAGCCCCATCGAGTGACCCCTCATTTTGAATTTCCCGATAAAAGGAAAATAACAACGCAAACTAGAGGTGTCTATCTTAACACAGTAAAAAATGGCAGCTGACTGAAATCTTTAGAAATTAGAATTAACTTGCAATTTTATATTCAATTGGTTGCCATATTTTACTGTGATAGATTTATGTGAATTTAACTTCTGAGAATTTCAATGGGCTGCCATTTTTTACTGGATTAAGATAGAGAGTAGTTTTTCTAGTATCGGCCGTTAAAAAATGAACAGGGGGTCTCCACACTTTTTACTAACCCTGTATACTAGGACTATCAAGTATCAAGAATACTTACCTCTGGCAGGGGCGGATCGGAGGGAAGTCGGGGCCCACTCATAGTGAGCCCAAGACTGTCGGGTCAGCTGGTACACAGCCTTGTCCTCTCATCATACACCATCACCACACCGATTCACCATACACCTACACACACACACGTGTAGGTTAAACAACCAGGTACGGTTGAGACACAATCTGTAAAGATAAAAAAGTAAATTACACAGAGAATTTTACTTAAAATTTTTCCTAAAATATTTCTTGGATTGGGGTTAGAGAGGTTTGTAGCATAGATAAAAAATACTCTCTTAGTAGATTTGTCATCCATATGGAACAGCTGAAGACAATTTATTGTTCGATTTGTACGTCACACTGTAGAGGTTGTGTTTTGTTTACAATTTGTTTCTTGTTATTTCAGTAATATAAAAGAGCATTTAACCAAATAAAACGATCTAATTATAAACAATAACTGGTTTCCTAGTTATATAACCGAACAGTAAAGCAGAACTCATTAAAATAACCCTAAAATAATATAAACAATTTCGTCTACACAAGCGATCAGTGTCGACGCACATGAACTAGACACGAAGAACAAGCTTCAAAACTTACAATGGGATTAGAATGAAGTTATTTGTGTTGTTTAGTCTATGTTTGTAGGGACTTAAAAGAGAAATTTTCCATAAAAAACCTAGAGAATTTTTATGGATGCTTGTAACTGTAGCAATTAGTGTTTTGTAGACCAGAGATACCTACAAAATTACACTTTTAGAACTTAAGAAACAATTCAAGTATAATTGTATCTGATAAATTTAAATGAAAAGTTTTATAAATACACAACAAAATAGGATTACCTTTGAGCAAAAGATGTTTTTCGACACTCAAGAATAGGGTTTCAAATGATCCTTGCAAACAGCTCCATTATGGAAAAAAATTACCTCCAATTTTCAAAATTTATAAAAGGACAACTTCAACGACGTCCAAATTATTCATAGAAGATTTTGAATGACTATGGAAATCTCATCGTTACGAAAGCACACTTTAATGACAATATATTCTTAAACACGTTTTTGGGAAGGCAAATTCCTAGCAAACAAACCTCCTCCAATAAAACCTATCCTCCTATTCATGATAGGTATTTAACAACTTGTAGGCCTATCTAGAAAGAAAAGAGCTTTCGCAAAAGAACATACAATTTGTGAAGATTTATATTACCTTAACAACATGCTCTTTAACCCCATAAATCAATTTTAGAACAATAGTAACTTATGTCTAACCATTACTAAAGTGAGCAAGAACAGTGATTATACAATCCCAACATATGTTTTAGGAGTAAAATTTCCAATTGGGAGACAGCTCGCATCTCCTGGAAAACTTCCTAACCTAGAAATGTGTTAAACAGCTTTAGGTGTCCTTTACCACCAGGACTCATCACATAGCTACAGTAATTGCCACTGGCTTGGTTAGGAATCTGATCTCTAGAACAGGAGTACAGTATCATGTTCTAACCACTAATCCAGTGCTTGTGGTTCAAATCATCATTAGCCTGTAGCAGTTTCGTAGATGAATAATTCAATTTCCGAATGATCTTATTATAGGTACTCATTGCACTAGAAAATTTGCAATAATGGAAACAAAATATTGTTTCTGATGTTTTTGGCATTAATTAACGTTTTTTGTAAGGGAACAGTTCTAAATCTTGTCTTGTGACTATCAAATGTCATTAATTCGTAGCCCAATGGCAAATGGCATTTGGGTCTGGAAACAATATTGCTTGGGATCGAACTGGTGAACTTCAGATTAGTAGGTGAGCACTATAACCTCGGCTTCCAGATAGTTTAAAAGGACGCGTTGCAGAAAGTCAACAGTCCCGGAAGGTCAAATAATTTATACCTGTGCCGCTAGGTCAAAAACTACAATTTTTGCAGTGTCTGTAGATCAAAAATCCCAGAAAGTCAAATAGTACAGTCCGGGCTAAAAGTTTAGTCTATTTTAAAGCAATTGACTTATTGGGAATTTGACTTAATGCAACAGCAGTTTTAATATAACGAAATAAGATAAAATATAAGTTCAGTTTCGCTGAGTCAACAGTGCCGGAAGGTCAAAAGTATAATCTGTTAAAAACAACGATAGTCCTCTCGACGCATGTCTTCAATAATTTCGTGTTTTGGTGTTCTTAAAGTTGTGCTAAAATTTTTAAATTTGGCACAGAGCTTCTTGGTTAGTCCTACTCGATGACTATTTTGTTGGAACTTTAAACTATTTACCGATCTAATTAATAAAAAATGATTTGTATGGTGAAATAGTTTTAAATCGTGATTTCTAACATGAAAAAGTTAGCATGCGAGATTTTTTGTTTGTTTTTGGGTTAGAGAGGTTTTGTCTGTGGCAAAGTTGAAGCCAAAAGTGTAATGCGTAAAATATATTTTTTTGGAATTTTTTACAATCAGTGGTTCAGTAGATAACTTGGGTTGAAGAGGACGGCAAATGTAGCATTTCGCAACGCATGGAAAGAACTACATCGTACGATGCGACTGCTGAGTGGACTTTTAATTTATCTAATTTAATTTATCTAAGGACAAGAAAAAGGTGAATATACAGATCACCAGTACATTCATATTATTTATAAAAAATCTTTCTTTATTACCAGCTAACATTTTTCACTTATAAGAATACATCATAAACAGGGTGTTAAAATAAGCGGGGAGATACTTTACCTAGTAATTCCTTGGGTCAAAATAAACAGAAAATCAAGGATAACATTTTTTCCAAAATAATTTCGTTAACCAGATATCCACCATTTTGTATTTTTTACATACAAATATTTATCTTTGCACTTTTCCAACCGATGTTTATCAAACTTGGTATGTATGTTAAGGTAGGAGAGACCCATGTTATAAACAAAGATTCATCTCGATTCACCCTAAAATTTCAAAATTTAACACTTAACTACAATATAATATACTCTACTACACCACAATATTTACGTATCACCATAAATCTTTAACAAAATAAAACGTTAACATTTTTAAAAACCAAAGTAAATCAATATAATATTTCTTTTTTGAAAAATATATTTAAAAAACAGGCGATGGTAAAATAACGACAGGCGAGTTTCGATCTGGGTGTTTCAGGTTTGAATCTAGGAGGATTTAACATTAATTAACATTAATGTTTAATCCTCCTAGGTTTGAACTGATTGAGAGGAATACATGAAACCGAAGGGGGGAGGTAGCAACAAGTGCACTAGTATTTACTAGTGTCCAATTACAATTTGATGGATTTAACCAAAACCTTTTCTATTTCACTTATTTTCAGCTGTTAATACAGATTGTTTAATACTGACATTGCATTATTATATTTTAATTTGAGCCTAATTACGACGGTCTACGTACACGTTATTAGTGATATAGTAACATTGTTTATTATCATATTGTTGTATTACACGAAAGACATTAATTTACGACGATCCTTCGGCTTACATATTATTGGATCATTTGTTTACGTATCACGATTGTAAACGTTGATTGTTGGGGTATAATTTTAGCGATTTAAATATTATACAGAGCACCTACGGTTAGGAACAAACTCCTACAACAGTTTTATTGTTATTTAACATACTAATCAACAATAACGTTTGCCGCCAATTGTATTAAATCTAATATGGGTCCTTGGAAACTATTTTTGTTAGTTTGGATGTACAATCTCTTCCCGATGGTGTAAGTGCTGACTGAGCCAGAAGACAGGCAAAAAACAGCCTTGCAAGAACAACGACTCATCCGTGCCTACCACGACCACTCCCGCCGTTATCACCGTGACACTGGCGTAGGCTACTACATCCAAGGCAATAGTTTTAGCATAGATTTATCATTAACTTTAGATACTGGATGTAGAGATTTCATTTAAGAGAAACAGATAAAGCATTGACTTTGGATACTACAAGTAGTCATCCCATTTATGAGAAACAATTATACAATTGACTTAGTGAACTTGTAGGAGACATCTCAATTACGTGAACTATATTTAGCATTGACTTTGAAAAAGTATTGGATTACAGTACTATGATAGCTCCGTTCAATATTGCAAGCAGACAACTGCATTTTACACCTAGTACACATTAGTACACGCAAAATAATGCAAGGGACCTTGAAAGAAATATTGGCAATGAATTTTTCATAATGGCAGAAAATAATTACAGTACAAAGCACTGTGGTGCATAATCAACACAGTAAATCAATGAAAACAGAAAAAAGTTCAAAATCTACACATTTCTTTCTACATCTATTATTTCTTACTTTACAAAATCACCGAAACCACGCTCTCCTCGTGTAAGTATAGATATATTGTGGGAACTACATCTGAACTAGGTTGAATTAGCATAATAGCGCAAGTTTAAATGAGAACAATTGTATGACTAAAACTAGTAAAAATAATTTATTTGGTAACTGATGACGTTGTTTAGACCTATCAGGAAACTACACTCCTTTACCACGTAAATATCTAACATAGTTTGTACCTCTGTGATTTCGTCTAATCATATTCAGTGATTCATTCTTTACATAGTTTGACTTTTTCGTAGGCCTGGTTGTAATATAGCTTATGTCTGGTTTTACATAGGTGTTGTCGCTGGTTATACAGTAGTACTTGCACATATTCGCGCCTTTTTTAATCCCGCGCTTTTATCGAGTGCGTTGACATTGACTAGTTATTCCAACTATTGTCATCAGTTTCTCGTTCTGTAACACACATTCTAATCATGATGTATCCCTCACTACATTTCCGCCTTGAACTGCATTATTTGACGAGCGTCTGGTTTAAATACATTAATCGATTTACAAGCTACATTATGAAATATTCATAATGTACCTTGCAAATCGATTAATAGATAGTCTACTAACTAATTTACTCCCTACAAATAATTAGGTAATACATTATTTAATACAGTGATATCAATGACAAATGTATATGATACTTTTACTAATACAATATTCTTAAATTTATTACACCTATTTGCAAATGTTTCAGCTACCTTGTCCACAGTAACATTTACATTCGTGTAGTTCTTGACAGAAGACTTTAATACAAAACTAGATGTATGTCTCTTGGACTTGACATAATTTCAAAAAGAAGTGATATTGTATACAACTCAC